GGGGGGATACCCTACAATCTGTGAGTTTCATGCCACTGACTTTATTTCCTAATGCAGAACTGTACTTCAAATCGAAACTATAACCTCCCCACAAACTGTCTTTGCCTAGAATATATGTAGGGCATCACAGTTCAAAGCAATGGGCACAGGTCCTAGGCAGTTACTTATCTATTCAATAAACATTTTATAGAGGACGTAGAAGCAGCAGCTATAAGGTAATCCTGAACACAGAATGGAATCAGGATCACTGGGACCTATCAGTGAGATGAGGCATTCTCCTGGGTTCTCCATGTGGGTACTAAATCCAATGACAAGTGTCCTGCTGATAGACACACAAAGAAGAGGAAGTCCAGTGGCCATACAAGCAAGAGTATAAACATCCTCCTGGCATCTGAAGAAAGAACAGAGGAAATCTGAAAAGGACCTCACTTTGTGGTCCTTTTCAGCAACCCCAGAAAGCTAACCTGGGAGCTAACTAGCTAGCTGTGTGATGAAATGGCGATAACCCCAATAGACTAAGGGGTCAGAACAGTGTCAGCCCTGGAACAAGAGTCTTCAGAGCAACATGTGACACCTCTCTGACATTCTGAAACATGACTTCCTCTCCTTTGCAGATTCACAGAGAGCATTGAAAGTTAGAAAATCTAGATTCTCATCTCATCCTAGTTCTAGCAAGGTGTGGGGCAGGGTGGGGGTGGGGTTCCTGTTGCATCAGAAAGCACTGGACATTTTCCAACCAGTAATGTAGCTTGGTTGTTGCAAAGCCTAACTGCAGTGTTCCTTGAGCAGAACCTCTGAGCCCACACTAAGGGAGCAGGAACAGGCCATGCATGTTTGCTGGGCCTCTTTTTCATGGGAAACCTGGGCAGAGGGTTCCTAGGTAGAGTTCCATTTGTCCACTCATGTCCCCATTTTACCTCTAAGACAGCTAAAGCTGCAAGTTGAAGCAACTTATCCCAGTCAGCAATCTTGTGCGGACCAGTCCAGAACCAAAACCTACACCTTTCATTTCCTTTCCTTCATGTTGTTGCTATTCTAAAATATCAAATAATAATCAGACTAAAGTTGGAAGCAAGTCTGCAAGGTATATTGATTATAATTTCTGGAGATATCTCAGTGGAATATTAATAACTCATGAAATTTTTATGTAAAGTAGTAGGAGTAGATAGCGAAGGATGCTCAAATACAGGCAGCATAACAGCATTTGGCAAGTAGAGGCAGGAGGATGGTGAATTCCTGGCCATGCTAGGCTATTTAGTAAGACCTCACTAAAGCGGAGAGGGGGTAGAATACAAATTCAAGATGAGTTTCTGCTTAGTAATTTGAACGTTCTCTGAGCTGAATGATCAAGGGAAAAAACTGCTACTTGGAAGGATTTTTGCTATATTAGTGAGATAGTCATTCAAAACAATTAAAAGTTTTGTGTTTGTTGGAGCACTTTTAAGAGAGCAAAGAGCAGTGCCTAGTATGAAAATGGGTGTCAGATTTATGGCTCATGCCTCATCAGACACATGTATATACCTGAGGAGGGTCTTACGGTCATTTTGATAATGTTTTACTTTTGGTTTTTTTTTTTTGTTTGTTTGTTTTTGAGGCTCTGAGGATAATAAGTGTCAGACAATATTGCTCCAATTCACCCCTTCTCATAGTTCCAATACATTTAGTATTGGATCTGATCCTTAGGGTAAAGTTGTTTGTTGTTTAAGCATGAGGACCTGAGTTCATATCCCCATTGCCCACCTAAAAGCTGGACACAGCAGCATGTCTGTAATCCAAGTGTATGATGGGGACAAAGAGACAAACACATCTGAGGGCTCACTGGCCAGCCAGTGTGGCCAAAGTAGCAAGGTTTAGGTCTCAATTATTAATATTAATAGCAATTAAGACATTTGATAAGATCTCTGTTCTCTCTTATGCATGCATGTACCATCACATACTTAAGTACACAGCTACAGGTATGCATATATACACCAGACACAAATAAATAAACAAACCAAGACTGTATTTTTGCTAAGACTACTAAATAATTTGGGCATTCATAGTTCTTGGCTGTTCAAAGCACTGTCCAAGCTGGAGTCATATTTGCTTTCTCTTTGTCATGGTGTTTAACATGCTCTGGCTTGGCCCCAAGTGAGTTGCATTTGATGCCTCTTAGTTTTGAACCCAACCCCTGAAAGATGTTTGTCTAAATGACAGCACCCAGTTTAATGGCAGTTAACACTGCCAAGAGGGGAGTGGAGGTTATGTGTGACTTGTGACAGTCTAGGGCCTGAATGGCAAGACTGGGAACCTTCTGTGAAGGATCATTTCTTCTTTCAGTGTCTAATTCTGGAAGCACTTTTGGTTCTCTCTGTTGTCTGTAGCTCTGAGATACAAGAGTCACTCAGACCATAAACATTCACAGAGTGGGAGAATCCCAAAACTTGATGGTTGGTCCCTGCGAGTGCTGTGCTGGACTTACTCCTAAGAGCCCAGATCTCTCAGTCATAACAAGGACCAGCCTTTTGACAGTTGGATGGTGTCACCCAGGATGCAGCTGATGGACAGCCACTTGGGATCTGTGTGCAGCAGTCCTTCTGTAGGTTTGAATGTGAGTTTGATTAACAAGGTTACTTTCCAGATTAGTCTTCCATGGAAAATCTAGCAAAGGAAACACACATTTCTGTGTTGTTCACCGTTGTTCCCAGCTCTGTATGGGGATGTGTTGGACACAGTGGGATCTTTCAGGAAACAGCAGGGTGATACTAGGCAGAGTGTGACAGGTCTTTAGAGGGACGTGTCTGCTCTAACCCAGGCCCACAAGCAGACTGTACTGAAAGGGGGGAGCCATGAATTGAACGTTGACAGTGGGCCACAGCAGTCTGAAGGCTCAGGTGGTTGTCAGCCATAAGTTTAGCTCAGCTCTTTGAGTAATTTGTCACGCCTGGCTCAGCCCCTGCTGGGCCAGCACGTGCCAGCTTAGTGTGAGAGGGCCTGTTCGCCAGACGGCCACTCAGGCCTAACGTCCTGCTGTTCCCCCGGACCAGTGGCTTGCTGGGGCCATACACGGAGGGAGGGCTGCTCTGCAATGACAGCCAAGTGCTGTGCAGAATGAGCATGCTCATAATGAGACGTGAATGGCATTAGTGGGTCCCTCTAGAATTGGGCCTGAGCAGGCGCCTCTCGCTGAGGAAGTTTGGCAGCCTGTTCATTAAAGGCAAGTCACCAGGAGTTCAGCCCACAGCCCAGGAGCCAGCTCCGGAGCATGCTGCCCAGGCCTGAGGCTGTTGTGACCATCCGTAGAAACAATCTATGTGCAGCAGAGGGGACACTTTTGAAAGCTTCCGATACATTTTCTTCTTCTTCTTCTTCTTTTTTTTTTTTTTTTTTTTTTTTTTTTTTTTTTTTTTTAAAGAGTTGTATAGAGCAAGCTTAAAGGGAAATTCTAGCATGAGGGAGATCCCAATATTAATTTCTATAGTTTTGCACAGGTCCTGTATCTGCCATTGGGCTTAGTAACCGCCAGCTCTTGTGACTATTGAATGTTTGAAATATATGGAGTGAGACAGGAAGGTAGAGTTGTTCCTTTTTTATTTCACTTAGTGAACATTTCAATCTCGATAGTCAGTGTGCTACCAGGTGATGCAGCACTGCTCCAGAATGACTCTGGTCCCCTCACCCTCACGGTGTGCCACCATTCCTTGAAGATGTAAAGGAAATGGGAAGAGAGCCTACATCTTGCAATCAGTGTCAAAACCTTACCAAAAGAAACGTGTCTCCAGTTTTAAAACAAGATGTAGAGAAGCGGAAGGGGATAATTGTTCCCAGCCTATATTTTTCCAAGTGGACATTCTGAAAAAAATTGTTTTAAGATATACAGAATGTTAGTGGCATGTACAGAATCATGTTTCCTCTTTGCAACCCCAGATAACTAACCAATGGGAATCCACATTCCCTGGGTTTTGTATTCATGAAGAAATGGCACAATTTTCAAAATAATCAAAACGCATCCTTTAACTTTTGCATCAATAATGAGAAGGGGAAAATGAGACATCATGCCAGCTTCCCCAAGCGCTAATTCCTGAAGTTCTACATGGAGCGCCTCCATCCATTGTCAGATTATTCTGACGTTTCCTGTTATTGGAAGTATATGATTCACCTTCAGAGGAAACAGAAGCTCACACAAAGGGGAAGATTTGCTTTCTGCCCTGTGAAAGGCTTCCACACGCAGGGGTCCTATTAAGACAGCTGGAAAGTTGCTTTGGCGTGTTACGCTTGTAAGTTTTATTGGTGACTGGTTTTTGATTACACATTTGAATATCATGTGTTCCAGGGTGCAGTTTTAATTAGGAGGCAGTGCTCTCTCTCTCTCTCTCTCTCTCTCTCTCTCTCTCTCTCTCTCTCTCTCTCTCTCTCTCTCTCTGCAGTTGCACTGCATACCATTTGCTACAACCTCCATATCCACTCTTACTTTCTAATGCTTAGTCTGGTCAAAGGCTCTGAAAACCTTGCAGAATATAACGCTTGGCCTTCCTTCTCTTTCCATGAACTTGTGTTTTCTTACTTTTGTTGGTAATATTCACCACCATATAACCAGCGTTTACTTAAAGTATCAGTCCCCTGTGCTGTTAGATTGAGAATTCTCATTGGCCCAGATCAGGAGTAAAGATAAAGGCTGCCACACCATGCCATTGCGATGTTGTCATAATCACCCACCTCTCTTGTTCTTGTCTTAGAGATAATACAGCACTATACAGGATATAATCCTGTAACATTTGGTGCACATATTTTTTAATGATATTACTGTTGGATATAGTTGAAGCCCAAAAGAAATCTAGGCCTTAAAACTAGCATCTCACTATTACATAATGACAAATGTCTAACTTTGTGGCAAAAAGTTTCCAAGATGCACTTTCACACAAGACTGGGAAAGCCTAGTTACTAACTGCATTTAGAATAAATTGCCCTTCGCGCCACGTGCCGTTTGCACGTGCGTTTGTCTCCTTAACCAATTACTGCAGCTATGAAGAGCGAGCTCTGTATCTGGAAGCAATAATTCAGAACCACCGGGAAGTCATGACATTTGAGGATTTCGCAGCTCAAGTCTTTTCTCCCTCTCCCAGCTACTCTCTCAGTGGAACGGGTGAGTGTCTGCATTATTCTCCTCCCTCCCGCTTACGATGCATTTGAGTAGCAGATGTACACCTGTTTTTCACAGATAAATGCTTGCAAATTTAAGAAGAACATTCACCCTCTGAATCAACTAATGAATTTCAAAAGGAATGATGACATTCATTTTAATTTGTTTTGTATCCGAGCTGTTCGCTGTGTTCCTTTCTTCAGCTATCCTGTTAACCCTCGAATCTAGCAAGGTTAATGAACTTTTTCTCAATAATGTGCTCCGGTTCATTCAGGAGTGTGGGTTTCTTGCTGAGCTGGGAATATGTTGTTTAAAAGCGATGCCCAAATCACTGCATACTTATCAAAAAAAGAGTTCTCGCAGTTGAAGCCGTTGCTACTAATGCTAAATGGGGATTATGCTGCTGAGATACGAGGGTCAGGGATTAATGCCGGAGACATGGAAGGACAGTGTCCCCAGGCCCATCATTACAGAGTGCCGCGTGCACGCTGCTCTCTGGAGTGGTTGGTGTCATGCAGACCAGACACCGACCAGAGCAGCACCTGGTGTGGGGCCTTCAGAAAGTGGCTTATAATGGTTTTCATTTAGTAGGCCAGTGGAATTGCAGAACTTTCCATGCATTTCCTAGTTTTTAGGCACGTACTATCTTTATATAATATTGTCAATTTGGAAAAAAAAATTATGTGCTGCCAGTTAAATTGTTGATATTATTATGGTTTTTGTCAAAGAATAAAATTATTACTTGTAAATTTCTGCATGTTGTTACAGATTAATTGCCTGTCAGAGTAAGTGGGATATTTAGTCTCTGCATGTTAAAATTCTCAATGAGGGGCTTCCTTCACCTTGCCTGGTTCAGCATAGCTATAAGGATGCTTAATAGATTTCTAGCCCGTGCTAATTGCTTCTGAACACAGCCTTGCTTCTCCTGTGCTGACTTGTTAACAAATATCTTACACACAAAGTGAAAAAAAATCAAATTCAGTGAAATAAATCACTTACAAATAAAATCAGCCATGCGTCATTGTTTAACATCGCTGGCTTCAGCCTGTGCCTCTTGGAGCTTTGTTGGGAGATAAGAGAGAGAGAGAGACAGGCACTTGCATGGGGAGCCAGGAGCAGCAGGCAGAAGGCTTGGGAGATAAGCAAGCTGGCCGAGGTGCGGAGCTCCATTTACATAATCACGCCTCTGCTTCCTGGTGAGGCGAGAGAAACACAGGGATGGCCTCTATTGATCTTTGTTGAACTGGGGTACTGAGCAACATGAGAAAAGCTTATAACTTAAGGCTTTGATTAATGTTTCTTACATTAGAAAATAGAACAGCTGTGAATTGAATTCTTTTATACACTCTGCCAGCATTCTAAGACAAAAAAAAAAAAAAAATCTGTTTCAAGGGAAATGAAGATTTCATACCCAGCCTGCGAGGTTTAAAATTATGTCTGATTTTTCAGTGAAAGAACACAAGGACCTCAGGGCAAGCTAACGCCGCAGAGCTCCGTACAGCCTCTTCTCGTCCTTTGCACTGGGACTTGAATTTTCGGGGTGCAGGCTTCTGTTTTTGCTTTTGTTTTTAACTTTTAAGAAAGCATTTCATTTCTTAAAAATAAAAGAAAAATATGAAATAATAACTGTTTAAATTTCTTAACCTTAATTTGTAAGGTTCATGTCTATTTTAAGGTTAACATTGTTGATGTTAGTGAAACAATGACAGATGTTATTTTACCAAGTTAAGTTCACAATTATTCGAACCAGTGCAGATTCGGTTCCTAGGTAACAGCTTAAGTGAGATGGTAGAAGCATTTGGGTTTGTGTGACCACTTGGTTTGCTACTAATGCTAAATGGGGATTGTTAATAGGGGTTTTGGAGGATGTCCTTTAAAATATTACTTAATAAAAATTCTGGCAGCTTGTCAGGGCAGGTATTAGAACTTTTATACATGGAGGAAAGAAACGAGATTATAGACACCAGAACAAGTGTGCCTCGTCCTTCTATCAGGTCAACGTCAGCCTCGCATTTCATGGGGTTCACTGCTCTGTCTGCCCTTCACAGTGATTAAGGAAGGACTAGAAATAGCGTCTATTTGAACTACAATGTGGGGATAACACAGTGAGGATGGGGATCATCAGCCCAAACACAGGCACCTCCTCAGAGCTGTATTCTCCCTGGCTTATGTGCAGACGTGGCTTCCACAGAATCCCTACCTTCTTCCACTCTCACACAGAGAACACCTTTCACTTATTCACAGTGGTGTTCATTTCCTTGGGACAAGCACAGTCAAACCCGGATGAGCTCAGCTCAGCCAACTTCCACTCAGAGACTGAGGTGAAGCCTGCTCTTCCAAGCAACAAACCAACTGGAAAAATTGACCCTGAACTGCTTAAGCTCCCACAGTGCATACCGGGCCATCAATGTCATCAAAGCAGGGCCTTGGCCTCCTTATATACATATGCACAGATTGTCCTTGGCTTTGTTTGTGTCCTCCCAATAAGGGGCTGTATCTTTCAGGAAGACACCTGAACTATATAGTATAGCACATCCAGAAGGCAGCACGCAGCTCCACCTCTAGAGAGAAGGAAATATTCCAGGTGAGCCTGGCCAGAGACACTACTGCTGGGAAATGTCTGTGCCTCCCACATACCCTAACCATGGAGCCCTGGGGGCCAGAGTGCCCAAATGTGTGCTCTTCTGTCCATGATGCACCATGAGCTCTGAATAGGGACAAAGGTCTAATATATGAGTTCAACTTCTGTCAAGGGCTTTTAAAAGAGGATTCATCTCCCAATCAGAAATGCTGTGTTAAAGCAGCCCCTTGTGTCTGTTGCATCTATTGATTCAATTAATAATAATCTGTACAAAAGATATTTCACCCAGCCCTCCCCTGTGGTTTGCCTTGTGATCCCTTTCCTTATTGACAAGCAATAAATAATCTAAAAGATAGCCAACATTAACATCTGCATGTTTTATGCATGCATATTTGTATTCATTTAACCCACACAGTTATGGGAATAGAGAACCAAGTTTGTGTTTTCAAGTTATGAAGGAAGGTGGCCAGCAGGGAGGGCTGTAAAGGGTTAACTGGAATGGGCACCCTCGAGTGCTAGGGAGGGACTGATGTAATCACTGCAGCTCACAGCCAAGTGCATCTGTTCACCATGAGGTCATTCTTCTGCATGCTAATGACTTGGAGAATCCAGTCTGATGTTTGACATTATCCAAAGGGATATAGTGTAAATCTTTACCTTTGGGAGCTGCTCTTACTGAACAAAAAGGGAGAAAGAAATTTATTTGGACTTGGATTTTTTTTTTTTTTTTTTTTTTTTTTTTGGTTACTATTTTGTTGGTGGTTGTTCATTTGTTTTTTGGTTGTTGTTTTTTTTGGGGGGGTGTTATTAAGGTTTATTATTATTATTATTATTATTATCATCATCATCATCATCATCATCATTATAGGTTTGTTTGTTTGTTTGTTTTTTCCTGGATCTTCTCTAAAGATTGTGTCTGAACCTTAAAATCTTGGAGGAATTCAATTGTGTTTGTTGATAAATGAATCCCAAAATAGCTATTGTGGTCACAGCTAGCAATTTGGTAATTGACATACAGTAGGTATGTCTCCTGTAATACCTAACTTTCAGAATTGGTACCTTGGTCAGAAATTGATGAGAGTATGTTTTTATTCTGAGGAATATCTAAAATCCAAGTTCAAGGAGATTGTTCTCAGTATCTCTGGATTGGCTGGTGTTTGCTTGAGATGCCAACACTGTTTATGGTGCCTGCCCACTTCAATATTGCTATGGAGGGCCAGCAGAGGGAGCACAGGTCTTTGTTTATTTGTTAGCCTCAAAAACACAGCCCTTGATTTCTCCAAGATAGGGTCAGCAGTGCTTTCTCCTTCATGACAGGTGGGGTTGTAAAGGCTCCAAGATACAAAGCAAGTGGAGAAAATGTGTCACCGTAATTTTGACCCACTATCTTCTGCGTGGATGTAGGTCACATTTGGGGCTTAAACCAGATTAGTCTGGGTCATTCTTAAGATGCTTGCACAATCCAAAGCTGCAAACTTTTCTCTTTCTCAGATGTGTGCCTGGATAGCCTCTTGGATAGGAATATTGTGTTTATCTGTCTCATATAATAGACTTTTGCCATTCTTTTCTGCTATTCACTACAATTTAGACATTGCACTTGAAGACCCTTACCTGGTGCTATCAGGACAACTTGATGGCAGCCAGTGAAATGAATTCACAGAGCTGCCGACAGCACTTCTGGTCACACCTGGGACTCTGGCATGTAGATGCAGCTAGTTCTGTAGGTCCCTGTCCTGTGCCCTGAGGGGTGAAGCTCTGCCAGCCTCCCCTGCATGTATGCTCACTATACCAGCATCTTACAGGCTTATCGTTCTGCATACAGATCCTGGAATATTTTACTGGCAGTTAGTTATCAGGTTAGCCTGAAGAAGCAGACAGGTAAAGCCCAACTCTGATCCAATAAGCTTTTCATGTTGATTGAAAGTGTAATCCCCCTGTGTATTCATTCAGTCAGTATTCATTCTCTTTCTCCTTCTCCCTTCCTCCATGCCTGTTAAAATGGTCTTAGTAAGCCTTAGATTGGTAGCACAGCTTATGCTTCTTATGTATTTAGCTTTGTCATAGCTTAGGGAAACCAGCAAAGAACATCATAGAATGTGGAAGTAGAGGGGACTTCAGGGGATATCAAGTCTAGCCTCTCCTTAATAGCTTTGACTAAGTCTAAGCATAAATCATGAATGAACAACCAAAGATTGCAGACAAGTTGGACAACATAGCCCTCACTTCCCATTACACACATGAACATGTCATCCCAGTGCCTACCCTGTGCTAATGGACCCATAAGTCAAGCAGTAAAGGTTTATTGTTGATATTAAAGCCCAAAATTAAATTTGAGAATTACATGTAGAGAAACAGAAATTTTTCTTAAATACAAATTCTAACTATATTGTCTACTTAAGAGCTCAAAACCAGCCCAACTTAT